TACGTGTTCTTGTATACTTCAACAAAACAATTCGAGAAAAGCATAGATATGGAAATGAACAGAAACTTTTCAGCAACTGCAAAGTTGTAGCTAAGTTACATGCATCCTACATTACTTTTCGTGCTACTACACCCAGAATATCCATGAGGCTATGATCATTGAAATATTGGTGAAGTGCGAGTTTTTGCAGACAAGTCGTCGACGACCGCCGCTGAATCGCTCCATTCCCCCCATTCCTGAGTCGAGATCCAACGAAAGTATCATGAGCTACGCATCGCGCAGATCTTCCAGCGAGAAGGTAGGCGACTTTGCAATAACTTCACTTCCTAAGGAGCATGTTGTGCATTCCTGAAGACACATGTGAGTTAGATGCCTATTACTTGTCGCTGAATTCTCTTCGAGACGTTTAAGAATTTAAGCCTTAAAAAAAATCGAATTTAAGCCTTACCTCTTCGGAACGAAGATCGATGTGACTTAAGCGGATCGATTCATTTCTTATAACTTTCATTTTTTTGTTAATGTTTAAGCGTAATTCACTTGTTGACTTCTTTCATAGATTTAGTTTTGGCGGACGCATGGAAAAGTCTGCCGTTTTTGGAGGCACAGCTTGCCTTTGCTTAAATCATAAAGGGATAAAGAATAAGACGTCAGCCGTTGACCAGTCGCTGAAGGATGCTCCATGTATCCGGCTTCATAAAGCATCGTTAAGGTGATTAAGTGTGTATCCGGCCTATGCAATGACTTGCGCTGGCCTACGGTTGTGTGAAGTCGGAGCTGTATTACTTTTAGACAAGCCCGGTACCAATTTGTTAACTCTGGAAGGATGGATCGCTTCAGGAGGGGGTTTCGAACCTGAGACAACGTGCGTGCTGCAGCCCACCTCTAACTACTAACTACTGCGCAACACGTGCCCGTCTTTCTTAACATAGAACGAATAAACGTGTACTTTTATTAGTCTTGTTGGAACGTATCATGAGATTTGAGTCTATTCGTAAATTTGCATACAATGTTAACGTGGAGCATCATACTTGGACTTTATAGAGTCGTCTCTGCGGATCATTGGATACATTAACTTTATTTCCTATGGAATACGCTGTCACCAGTCGTCCTATGCCGAAGAACTTGGTGGAAGTGACAGTCAGCATTCTCCTCCTCAACCACTTCCCAATTTCTTCGTCTGAGCCATCGCTACCATGTTCCCTCGTGTTTGTCGCCGAAATATTAGAACAGTGCCATCATAAATCTACATTTTTCGCTGTCACATGGTTGAGCCAGGCAATGGGATCTCGACTAACTTAAAAAAACGAACTTTATGTTTTTTCTTCGTTTCCTCGTTGAGAACTCGGCCCTTCTGTTTGATGGTCTTCCTGTTTTGCGCTTGACGTCTTAGGAAACTCAATATCTTGTTTTCAATATCATACCAATATCAGGCATAGGACGACTGGTGACAGAGTATTCCGTAGGAAATAATGCGATAGCCTCCGTAATGTTATATTGTTGTCGTAGGTCGACATCCTTGGAACAATCCATTCAAGCCTCGCTTCCGTTCGTTCAGCTGCAATGTCAAGTTGTAGATCGCACGTTTTAGTTAAGATATTCGTAACTGGATCATTCAGAGATATGCGTTATATTTAGCATGAATAGAACAGAAAGAGCAAACAATTTTCTTTCAATTATCACTTTATGTTTGGCCGGAAGCCCGTCATTGCATAAATACCGTTGGAATCAGTCAGCATTTTTTTTGGACGAGCTATGTTTAGTGCTAAAGGAATGATTAGTGAAACGGTGATGATGGATCCGATCACCTTCGACTTTTATTTCCACGCTGCCATATACTGATTTTTATACGATTTTCCCATGAGTAGTGCTGAACACTTTTTGATAAATTGTATCCGTTTGTGTGACCATTCCTTCACGTTGCTGATGACATTATTGCAGAATGTCCTAACTCAATTCGCGACTTGACAGTGTATCGGATGATAGATTTTTCTACTGAAGTGGTGTGGCTACATTGCACTGCCCAGGGTTGCCATGGATTCTTCTGTCTTGCCATCTGCAGAGATTTTGTTCAGGTCAACAAAACGAGGACATCACTTCAACTTATGCAACTCACAGAGTTTCTTAGCCATTAGTGCAGAAATAATCTCTTCGAATAGAACACTTTTCGAAATCATGCCTGTTAAAATATTGTCCTTCCATCAAATGCTCTTCTACTTTCTTCGGAAACCAAAGACCAAAGTAATAAACTTGCGTCTCTATAAGCCCGTCGTTGCATATGAAAACACAGTCCCATCGGATTTTCATTTTCAGTGTCATAAGTTTATGGATGAAATCTGCTCATCCTGCATGCAAACATTACCATTGTTATTTTTGACACGAATATAACAATTCGAGCTTGATGAATTAGGAAACGAGGCTGAAACTTTGAGCGACGGATCTACGGATCAAGGGGCAACCAAATTTAGCATCACTAACGTTTTATCCTCGTTCATACAAGTAGAATTTAAAATAAAAACGCATATATCCATGTTGATGTCTTTAGTTAGGCGTTTAAAAAATTTCAGCAGCTTGAAATATCAAGATCAATAACAGGAAGCAAGCCGTGGATCTTCGCATTTGGCTTCTTAGTGCACGCGCTCTATGGAGATGTTCAAGGAGTCATTTGCTAGACGTAGAAGTATGGCCTAGCAGCAAATCAAATGAAGAGGACTTTGTTAAGTGGGAATCAATCGGAGTCTAACTTTCCTACTGCAATATGCGGTTGTGCATCCGTCTGTATTTCTAAATGGACAATTCGTTCTCTCACTTTCTGCCAGTTCTTCTTTCATCGAGCAGCTCATTCATTTACTTCACTCATCCCATTTCCAGGTCGACAGCTCGCAGCAGATGGAATGCGTCGTGATCGAGAACCGAAATGCCACCAGTTCATTCCAACGACAACAAAACTCCGCTACTCGAGTGAGTGCTCCATGTGTCTTCATCGGTTTTGGCCAATGACTGTAGACAGTTCCTATTAGATTAGTGGAACAAGACAATACTAAGCTTTTTGTGAAAGTCTTTAGTGTTCTTATGTCGCGTAGACCCAAGGGTAACGTAGGCAAATCACTGTTTTTCTAAACTGGAAATGGCCCGCGGTGCTCAGAATTTGCCTCAAAGATACCGTTGGTGCTCGCCAAAATCCGATATAGAATTTGGAAAGCGCAGTTGAAATATGAGCGAGTTCGACACGAATGCTTTGTTATGGAAGCGGGAGAGCGGAATTCACGTGGACTCGGCCTGCTCCGGAATGATTGATGTTCCGGCTGCTTCCATAAGCCTACAACGCGGCCGCCCGTCGACCCGCTTCGCTTTCCACGCATTGCGGTGACAAATCGAGCGTCCACAGTAAGTTTCTTGACTACAAGTTCATGTTTTCTACACCTCACTAAAATCTGCTTCATGTTTGATGAATTGTCTACCACACTGTCAGTAGTCTCTAGTTCTAGTCAAATAGGAATACATCGTTTTGCTGTCCAGGTTTCCGTCTTTACTAAAATAATCACTTCGTGGGAAGGCGTAGCATCATTACCTGGTTTTACCTTTCCTTATCGAGTTTGTCGTCGCAGAAGGTTTCCTGTAAAGCGACCTATCTCGTTAAGAAGTTTTAAATATACATTATGGGATTTTGGATTAATAAAATGGATTAGTCGGCGTTTGTTGTTTTGAACCATGCTGGTTGGCATTTTATAAACGTCGAGGTGCAATTGAGTCATCAGTGAATGTGAAGTCCTCTTTTGATTTTCAGAATTTTCTGTGAGAAATGCTCTCAACTTTGAAAGGGCTTTACAATTTACCATTGTTAGCTTATAACGGCCAATGCTGATTTCTGCAACCGCTAACAATTTTTCGATGAAGGGAGTATACCTGGGAACCTGGAAATTTTAAAACCTTATTGAAGACCCTTCACGCTATCGCTGCAGCCACATGAATTTTTTGTTTTGAAATATCCCTTAGATTTCAGATTTATTTGAAATCTAAGTTCTCGATTTTAGTTTTTGATTGAAACCGGTTTTTTTTAATTTTAGGGGTTCTTACTTCGATTAGTCACGTTCACAGTAAGCTGAGATATGTTTCTTCAAAGTTCGAGAGCACAATAATTTTCTACCTCACATGATTGTTATACAATGCATATTCTTCGTTATGTGTTAACATGACGTAACTTCCATATAGCAACTTTAGAAAGGGGTGAATAGCACAGTGGTAGTGATGTCCGTTACCACGAGCATGGTACTAGTTCGATTCTGCTCCGTGCCAACCAAGCCTCTCATCCCTTCGGGGTCGGGATATTGCTGCCGGACTTGTCTGGGAAAAATCACTCTCTGCAGTCAAATTGGGAACGATTTAGTCTGGCTATCTCAGGACTCAACGGGGAATTGATCGACCAGCATTCTATAACATTCAACAAGAAGTGGAAATCCTCAAGCAGCAACCGAAGACACACGTAAAGTTGGAAGATCTTCGTGGACGATAGTTGCGAGGAAATGAATTGGATGTGAGAAGTGCTGGGATTCGCCCAGTAGACGTGAAGACGGGGCAAATAAAATAAAATAAAAATAAAAAATAACAACTTTGGACTAGATAATTTAAAAGGTTCGATTCATATGATTTGTTCGACCGATACGATCACTGGGAGAAAGCCGGGTTTTTTTCTCATATTGCTGCTCTTATGTAAATACGAGTAGGCTCTCTAGTAGCCGGTCGTTTTTATAACCTTAGAGGATTTTCTCAATTTAAGAGCCTAACTATGAAGCTGATAGCAAATTTCGAATATTTTAATTTAACCAGACGAATCTTTCAAAGTGCTCAATCATCGCGCGAAGAAGTTCCGCTCCAACCTCACAGGTAAGCAAAAATGTGGCATACGAGAGGTTCGGGAGCCGACGACGTTAAAGAGAATTAGAATATTAGTTAGCGACAAGGGTGGAGGGCTTCCAGCAAATCCTTATCATTCAAATGTTGAGATGGAGAGAAAGCATCTTGAAGATGCTTCGCTTTATCGGCCATCATCTGAAAACGTATTCAAAAGGGTTGCACCAAAAGTTGAACAACGAGTAAGTCAAACTGGCAAACGCGACTGCTTTAAAGCCATTAGTCGTCTCGCAGCTTAAAATTGAATTTCGAGCAGGTCCAGTCTTACGCTTACTTATCAAAACTCATAAGTTAATAATCCACTAGTGATATGGAGTCTGCCAACCCGCCAACCTTCAAGGTTAGACCTATCGTCGGTTGTGTAGGTGTCTCCAAGGAATGCTGAAGCACATTCCGGCCCATCTTCCGCACATTCGGATGCTCCTGAATAGTCTACGTAATTCGCGTCCTAACAGTGTGATGGAGTCGTTCGACATTACCGTCGTTTATAGAAACGGAAAGAGCAATAGACATGTGTGGCTCCTGGATTCAGCAGCTCATCTTCCTCTTAAAGATGTGGCTAAATTGACCAATTTTTGGATGGTCCGGGAAGTATTTCGCGCAAATCAGAGGGTTGGCAAGGGAAAGCAACCAACACCAAGCCTTGTTATTGCATATATTCTAAGCTGGAAATTCCAGTAATCGATGTCCGACCACTGCTCAGCTGTAGACATACAGATGATTGTTTTGTCATCTGCTCCACGCAAGAGAATACGGACAAATACTTTGACTTATTGAAGGAACAGTGACATTGCATAATATTCACCCGGGAGAAACTGAAAGAAATCTAGTTTCCACTTTTGGACGTTAAAATTTTTATTTCAAAAAATGGCTACATTATTAAGTAGTACCGAAAGCCAAGTTGCAAAAACGCGCTGGTTCATCACCTTTCACCCCTCACAAACAAGATAGGCGCTTGTTAGAAACATGCTGCAAACGGCCACCATTGAGCGGACTGGAACGGAGAGGACGAAAGGATCCCTAAAACTGGTGTAGCAAATAGCTTTTATGAAGGCTACAAAACTGTAGTTTCTCCGAATATGCGTGGAGGAAAAACCACACCTCGGAAAGGTAACTCTTGCGAGAATAACATCCAGATTGCCCTGCCCTTTACGTCCAATAAAATAAATGCAGCTATAAAACGTTGCTTAAGAAGGGCCAGTCTTGAGAATTCAGTAGCAACCATTAAAATATCACCGGGAAGTCTAAGATGCGAGCAAGTTCGTAACCGCCTAAAGGCGGTGATTACGTGTGTTTGGTGAAGGTTGACCTATTGTAAAGCATGAGGGAATGAATACATTCTTAAAACTGGTAGACCACTATGCGTTCGGGTAAAACAGCATCTAGTCGATGAACTTAAACTAAATGCTCCACTGTCGCTTAGGACACAGTGACATGAAGTGGAAGATTTTGAAGTAGAAGTTAGCGTCCTCATAGAAGAAGAATCGAGAACTTCAGCGGGCAAAACTCTCAAAGCGTTCAGGATAAATTCCAAAGAACCAAAAACCTTATAGAAGCGGTGAGTGCGTGAAAAGTTGTCTTGTTTTTAATGAGGTTAAAATCCTGGTTTAGTGTTTCTTCTGTCTGCTTTGATGATGGAGGGAAGTGTTTGGCTGGCCATACTGCAGTCAACTCGACCTTTCCTAAGCTTTAAAGAAACGAAATCCTCCGAAAAGTCAGCTTTTTTGTGAATAACGGATAAAGTAACAATCTCGTGTTTACTCATAAAGAATGCAGTGAATTATTCGATCGATGCCGAAGTTAATAGGAAGTCGGTCTTGGGATTTTTCAAATTTAACTGGCTCACAGTGGTTGTCCTTCGCAACCTGCACTTATAGCGGGCATAGCTGTTACTCTCGACCAGGTGTTCCACAAAGCGCCTTGCCACTTATCATCCTCAGGAAGTGCAGAGTACTAGGAGCGCATTCTCATCTTCTGCTCAGTTTCTTTCCTAGTAAATGGCTCGCAAAGGTCGTCCTTCACGATTTGCATTTATAGCTGGCATAGGTGCTACTCTAGGCCAGGTGCTGATAAAGCACTCTGCTATTTATCATCCTCAGAGTACGTATAGTACAAGTATAGTGAAAAAGAGTACGAGCGAATTCATTATCTTCTATTCAGTTCTAAACAATGTTAGTTTTTGAAAAAAACTAAATACACTCTAATTAAGAAAAATTTTGACAGTGTGAAGGTATAGGAATCTTTTTCAGTTTCACGTAAAAATGACTTTAGGTAAGTGAGATTGATATGTTTCCGGTAAAACATATGTGATCTGTTGGAATAATGAGCTTTCATGTGGTTTACGGTGTTCATAGGCTTCTAGATCCGTGGACCAGTGGCAGCGAAGCGCTTCTCGTGACACACGGCTGCAATCGGACCAAGAATCTCCTCTGCCTCCTGCGGTTGAGAATTCGATCTCGTTTCATGTGACGAACTCCCTACGGGACTATGTTGTTATAAATTGCTGCGTTTTAGTTGCCATTCCCTATTCGTATTCTCGTTTGTGACTTAACCTCTCTCTAATTCTATACTCGATTCAACTTTGAACAGCTCTCGATATAGTGAATGAGTTAGTTCAATAATGAATTCCGTCCGCATCGCCGCATGATTAAGCCTAGGAGGAAAAGCCGAAGCAGTCAGTCTGCTGACGAGTTAATAAATTGTTGCAGTGACATCGATGGCTGTGTCCCTACAATGTTCTTTCTTGCCCTCACACTGTTTGCTACAACATTGCATGCTCAATGGTTACCCTCTTTCAGTTGAGCTGACGAAATGAGTGACTGTCGCAATTGATAGAGATCATTCACTGGATTACTTCTGCACAATTTTTGTTAAATGCATGAAGTTTCCGTTTATAGATGAAGTAGAAAACAGCCAGCTGATGCAAGACGAGAGCTACACTTTCAGAAATGCTTGTTTTCCTCTGAAAACAATCTTTGACTTGGTGAAATTTGGGACTTTTTTTTGGAAACACTCCTCATATTTCCATTGGTGGCAACATCACTCTATTTTGTAATGCCAGTTGAAGGAAGGGCTGGCTTTGATCCATGGCACAGTTGAAGCCGTTGGCATTCGCAATCGAACTTGCTGGTGAAGCAAATACTAGGACGGTAATCTAAGGCTGGCTAGATCCCAGCTCAGTGACTCAGTCCCTCATCGCACTTCATTATATCTATCGTATTGGGGAATTATAGCGTTTGGTGGTCTCATTGCAACAGCTTTAAGTGCTATCCTATTTCAAAGTGAAATATCCTCTTCTTGAAATTATGAACTGATTCCTCATGATTACTCTAACAAAAACATCTGTAAATGAAGATTTGATCTTCGAAATTGTTATGGGCTATAAGTAGTTTTTTTTTCCTACTACGAAGCTTAGTGGGCTCCTGCTCTTTGCTTTTCAAATTCCATTTCAAAACTTTCCCATAGATAACGATTCTCTGTGCCGCGTCGAGCATCTTAACGAATGCTGCATTTCCTAGTACAAGTGGCACAATGATTGAGTCAGGCCTTGTTCGCAGTCTTTTTCGAAAAATGGATTCTGCCACGATAAGCATTTTCGTCATCCACCACGAAATGATGCTAGCCAGTTAGACTTGGAGGCATTCATATTCGAGTTAATCGAATGAGTGGCGAAGTTCTCAGTTTAGACTTGAAGGTCTGTTTAGTTTTGGTTTCTCCACAGCAGTTAGTTGGAAGCAAGAGTGCATCTTGCTTTCTACGAACGAATTCTTGTTCGAGCTGAAAGTGACACAATCAGTGGAGTGGAAAATGGCGACAAATAACGCGAATCTGCAATCCACTATAAGTCCGCCTTAGGAAGACCAGGATTAAGTGAAAATGTCTTCGTTTCCCATTCGGAAAAGTGAGGACATGCTACTGCGATGTACGTGCTGTCCTTAGGTTATGAAAATAGTCTTCTGTTCAAACACTGCGACTGAGACCTGACCTTTGTTGACAGGAAATGTGCCAAAAAAAAAACACAAACGGTGCGAAAACTACGTTTTTTGGATCCTTCACATTTTGAGTGAATGTTTTAATGAATCGCCATTGCAGATTCCGCTTCTATTGTCAACGAAGAATTCGAGCGAAGAAAGGAGGCAGTCAAAAGCTGAAACGACACCACGTAGCCCACTAATGACGGTAGCGAAAACGGTGAAAAATAAGTTTTCGAAGCTGACTAGAATAGGCAGACATGAGCAAGATATCTCGATGAAAGGCAGTCAAAGCTTCTCGGGGTTTGCTCTATTCTATAAATTTAAAGTTAGTTCAGTTTGTGAGGTGATGACAGAATAACTATGCTGGTAGTTTTAGGATCCGACAGCTAAAAAGTGCGATTCCTAAACGCATAGATCAAAATGCAAATCGGGTTATAAAGTCCTCATCAATGGAAGTGCCATCCACCAGTCAGGAGACCTCTGGATCATCTGGAACTAAACGTATGGTAGGTTGACGTTTTTGTATGCATGAAAACATGCTTCAGGAACGACGTATTTTGTCTTTTATTGTGAGAATAAACCCAGGTGAGAACCATCTAGAAATTTCTCCATTGAAATTTTTGCGCTTCGATTTTGGCAAAATGTTAATTTCAAGAAAATTTTGCAACCTCATGAGCAGTTGATTCATGACGATCCTATTAAATTGCTAAGAGGTAATGAAACTGCATTGTTGTACGTGAAATGAAATTCGTTCAGATTGTTCTCAAGTTGGAAAATATGCCCACAGAAGGTCCTTTGTTTTAGGTTGTGATCCCACAAAATCCTAAACATCTGGAAGATTTCTCAGAAGAATCATCTTTGGCCGAGACGGTCGTTCAGAAAAACACCAGTGGCATTGTCGCGGAAGAGCCCGAGGAGCCACCGAAGTCACAGGAGCCGAAGCAATCCCTTTCAGTCACTTTGAGCGAGGACGTACTTGTCATTACTCAGGAACTTCCTCTTTCCGTTCAATGGTAAATCTTGGCAAACGTTCGAAAAGAGGTGAAATGTCTGGGAATTTTTCAGGGAAGCTTTTTGAAGAGAAAAATACATTATGTTGACTTGCCTTTCATAATTTGTAAGTCAATGCATTTTTTGTCGAGCACTTTTCTTGCTTTCTGCGTCTAGTTTGGGTAACAATTATAACAATAGCGTAATAGAATCACTAAGGTGTCCGTGAAGCAGTGGTCGGAGGAGCCTGCAACACACACGTGAGATCGATCCCGGCACCCAAGACCCACCAAGCCTACCATCTCTTCGGGTTCGGAAAATTGGTACCAGACTTGTCTGGGAGGATGGAAGCATTTGCTCGATACATCGGTAGAACACCGTGAGTCATTGTAAAGGCCAAATATGCATTCAATCACTTCCAACGATACTCAATGAAGTGGAATGCATGGCGAATCCCTCAGGGATTGATCACCGCCGAGAGCTTTATCTTTTATCGTTTATTAATGAAATCATTCCACGAAGTGAGTAGTTTGTATTTTCTCATATTACCATTTGGGATGTTTAAGATAGGAAAAACGTTTACGGCAACATTCAACGTCACGGTTTCCTGCTGTTTGTTTAGTTTTTTATGTGATACACTGTATCAATATCCTGGCGATGATGTTCTTTGGTTTGAAATTGTGATTGGAACGTAGAGGTAAACCTTTAGATAAATTTGTGGAAACCTTAAATGGATAGAAGAAAGGGTCCGGCGTTTCCATCAGAAAGCCCAGCTAAGAGTAAATTAATACCAGGATCCACCACCGTCCTGGTATCAAAGTCGCATGGTGCCAAATCTCCCTCTGATCCACAAGGGCTGTGACTACCTGTGGTGGTAATGACCCTGGCTTAACCAGCAAATCTCCGAAAAATGGAGATTATGCTGAGGCCCACACAATCAGTGAGGATGAGCTATTCAAGTATCAAGTGTCAAGTAAGTAAATGGACTGAACATTCCAGTGAGAAGACAACACATTTTGGGAATCGCAATCAGTTATCTACCTCTAAAGGAAAATAGCTCGTCATTCAGCCTCAGTTTCCATCAAATTTGCTGATTACATAACTTGATACTCGATAGAAAGACAGAATCATCACCCACCATTACTGACAAACTAGTGTACGCAAATGATCACCATGACTTTTCTGCTTGCGACTTTTTATGAAAGAAAAGTTTTCTCAGAAGATGATCTTGCTTCTTTTCTGAAGACCGCAGCAATTATTATGCTTTATATTGTAGCCATACAAGAGTATTTTATTATTTATTATTTTATTATATGACTCGACATAGCATGTGTCAAACTTTGTGGATCCATGACCTGTTGCGTTCTACTCAATTCCACGCATCCACCATCCACGAAACTCCTCCAAATCGTGTGGATTCGGCAGCAGCTCTAGGATATTCTTCGTCCTGAGATATCCAGGCTAAAGTGTTCCTTCTTGGATTTCAAGGTCGGAGCTGGTCCTAGACAACTTCAACACCTATTATATTTCCCAAGTCCAGAAAGATGGGAGGCTGAGTGGACTAGGTGCGGGTCGAACCGGCGCTTTTGCGGGTTGTGCCGTCCGTGTAATGAACGGGGTCCAAGGAAACCAAGAGTGAGAACTAATTTGCACCAAGTACCTAGTATCGGTTAAGAAGAAACTTCTGCGCGACCTGCCGATCGCGTGAACTTCTTGGAACCTTGCCTGGTTATCTCAGCTCCTTCATTTTCACATCAAAGTGATCATTATCATCACTTGCCGCATATCAACCCATTCAGCTGGCGGAAACAAAGTAGTCCTTCTATATGACCAGTTGGAAACAAAGGGTCAAAAGCAGCTGGTGAAAGGCCAGCTAGCGAACGTCATCCAGGTGCATGGTGTCTGCTCATGAATAAAGATTTAATAATCAAAGTTCGAACCACCAAGTATATGCCTACTGAAATCCTCTTTATTTTCCAAAAGTTAATACAGCAATCTTTCGATTGTTGGAACAACTTGCAATCAATATTTTCCTAGATCGACTTTCAAATTATCTCGGCGTTAATCGCGAATTATTTTGTTCTTGATGAACTGTAGCGAGTTTTTTTAACGCTCCCTTATTCCGAATTCTCCATGACTTCGACAGATTTCGCTTTTTTCACGTCGACTTTTCCGCTAAGTGATTCCTCCTATTTGGTGCCCACAAAGGAGGGTGAGCCGCAACTTTTAATTCGTTCAACGTTGCTTATCGAAGGAATGATTCAGAAGCCCTTTGTTGCACTGTCCATAACCAAAGTTCAAACTGATGCTTTATCAACGTGTATTCTTTCTTTAATAAGTTTACACGAGGTTGCTAATCAATCTATATTCGGCTAACATTTTGATACTCCGGCCTCAATGCAGAAAGTACCAGATATGACTATCAATGAGGGATATTCTGATAATATACTAAGTGTTCATTTGCTCCTGTCTTACAATATCACCTGCACTTAAATATTTAAAAACCCTTCTCGATATGTCATGCGAATCGCAGTATTATTTCTATCATTCACTTTTTACGTGTTTAAACTGTTGAGCTTACACGAGGTTGTTATACAACTTTCACTCGGCTAACGTTGCGACGTATTCGCCTTCATCAGAGCCGATGATCCAAGTAGATGGTCCACAGTTTTTCGTTTTATCGATGTGGCGCCTTTGCCTTCGTACTAACTCGGATCTTTCTCATTGGAGCATCCCTTGAATGAGGCATACTCATCCAGCGGTGCCCTTGTACACAATATGCTGACTGTTAATAATGGTGGACTCAGGACCATCGACCCGGATCATCGGTTCTAGTGAAGCCGAAGTCGTCGAAACGTTAGTCGAATAAGGGTTGATTATCAACGTCGTGTAGGTTTATCAAGGAAATAATACATATTTATATATGTTCTTACAAAATGCCCTGCTTTACCCGTTGCGAGGTCGTTATAGATTTCCTTATTGTTATTGCTACTGCTGTTCGATGCCAGACGTTTCGGCGACCTCGCCCCTGAGAGCCTAGACGAACCATATGTAACAGTAGCCCCACAATTCCGTGAAAACAACAGTATAAATGGAGATTCAGCATGTAAATAAGCGCTAATTTTTCAAAAAGCTCACCATGCTATTAAATCACGCGTGTGCCGTTCACGGGGATGATGTGTGAAACCCATCCATGAGTATGTGTATTAAAAGTCCTGAGATCTGTTGCCATATCACGCGTCATAGTGATGCATTTGTCTTCTCCGTTCGTGCTTAAGCTTTTTAAATTTGGATTTGGTGTACGACTCACTCATCATTGCTCGTGAACATCACACGAGTGGTCCAACAGCACGATGAGTACTTGAAAAAGTGGCGTGTAGTCGTATGCTGGATCACCATTAGTACTACAGATTTCACCGAATTGTGAGGCTTTTGTTGCATATAGTACGTACAGGCTCTGCAGAAGACGCAGTCTCCGAAACGTCATCCATCGAGCAACAACAGCAATAACAATAAGAACGTCTGTACCAACCTCGTGTCAGCTAAACAAAGCAGTTTCGTAAAACGATATTATATATATATATATATATATATATATATATATATATGGATACTTTGTCTCTTTCTATTCTCTAAAAAGAATTATGAATATGTTTTTATTACTTATTTTGCACAACCCAGAATCAGATATTATCCGCGTCCCAGAACTTCCTGCATTGTGCATTGGTTTTCTCGCATTCATCATAAACAATAGTCCTCGAACCTTTGAGTGTTGTTTCGGCTGCCGCTTGAGGATTTTCGTATTTCTAAACGTCGCCGAATGGTGGTCGATTTTATTCGCGCTGGAATCTTGGGGAAGCCGTGCAAGGACATTCTCACATAAGCACATAGCTTCTGTGAATTGGAGAAAGAAAGCTGATCTCAGGCAAACTTGGTACTAATTTCCCGAACGCGGAATGGCGGAAAGGGGTTTGTTTGGCCCTGTCCGGGTTGTCGAACCCGGACCTTGCGCGTGTTGACATCACTATGAGTTATGAGTAAAAAATAGTAACCACGAGTTTACCTTCCACTTCATTCTTCGCCTAGTAGCATTCTTTTTCTGAGAAACGCCTAAGAAACCAGTAACAATAATCACTTGTCTTGAATTAGAAAACATACAGTTTCTAGCACTGACACTTTCATTCATCGCTTGGCAAATGATTCAGCTTGTTTTATTAGAAAGTATTTCTGAAACTATGAAATATCATACATCTGACAAATCATTGCAATAATCAACACTTGAAAACATTTTTTGCTACGACGACTTGCTTAAATATAAACACTTTTGTTTTAGTGATGAACGAACGGACATCATCGACTCAAATGGGAAGACTCAAAGGATCCATGAGAAAGCTACGGCGTTCGGAGAACATCGAATAAAAAATGTTCAAGTGTCGAAAGAGACCCGAAACGTGTCGCCTTCTCGAAAACAACACACATTTACCCTTGGGGAGAAGATTCCTGACACATCCAGTGAGCTAAAGGCAACAGAATCCCAAAAGAGTAATGAGAAGATAGAAATGAAATCCGCGTTGGACAAGATGGGACCAGCACCAAGATTCATTATGACGATAAAAACTCCCGAGCCGATGAGGAAGCACCAGACCTTTTTTATCGGTTTGGCTGATGCTCCAGTGACTGGCACTGTTGCAGTCTCTTCTCCCGAAAAGAAGAAGAAGAAGAAAACGAAAATCGTCAAACAACGTTCGATGCCTGAAGCATCTGTTTCTCCGGAGAGGTACGTGATGAGAATGAAAACTCCGGAGACACTAAGGAGACATCACACATTTACTATTAGAGAACGGTCAAGAAGTCCTGATGTACCATACATCGAAGAGGGTGAAATCACAGAACCTGTAGCCACTGTTGGAATGACCGCGACAAAAAAGGAGACCACAAAAGAAAAAGAGGGGAAGCGACCTAACGAAAAGGAGAGTACCAACGAAAAGTCGACAGTAAGCGTGAAAACACCGTCCGCACTGCGAAAATTGAAGACTTACATAGCAGAAGAAAAGCCGAAGCTGAAGACTGTGTCGAGCTCGAAAAGTGCCGACACTTTTTTGTCTTCGAAGACGAGTAATTCTGAACATTCACAAATTGTTAAACGTACTGCAAAGCCTCAGATATTTTTGCAATCAAAGAAAATGCAGAAAGCAATGGAGAACAATGAGTCCGAGCGTGCAAGCGATTACGTGAAAAAGTTTACTCCAACCACCGCTGTCGTGCCAGTGACGAATACTAGGTTGCAAGCACTTTTGACCAGGGAAACGAAGGTCACTGATCAACCGGAGACTATGAGAACGATGGAGCAGATGGAAACGGTTGTAGATCTGGAGAGAGAAAAAGAAATTCTTGAGAACCTGCCTCTGAAGACTGCGGAAATGTACATGCTAACAATGATGACTCCTACACTAGAAAGAAAGGAGACAAATGTAGAGCGAAGTATCGATGAAGAACCACCGGAGAGGTCATCGTCTCCCGAAAACGTCAGTCTTCTTGTCATGGGAAGACGATCACATTCAAGAAATTGTCAAAATTCTGGAGAGAAGAATTCCGTTGAAACAGAAGCCTCCCGATACGCCGTGGTCCGGCCACATAGGGGAAAAATCGAATTCGATAGAAAAGAACAAAGTCAGTCTGACCGTGCAGAGCTAATAGAGAGGAAGACCAGCGAGTTGTCGGTAAGACATTTGCCTTCACTATTGCATTCCAAGTGACTCGTACATTCAGCTAGTAGACCTGGTAAAGTTCTTTATAACATTCCAGATTCTTCTGCTCACTAAAATTTCGTCAGTTGTGGTCATCTATCCATCTTAGGTGATAACACTAAAAGGAAGCCCAACCTAATTCCTATGGAAATTCAGCGGATGATTAAATTCCACTTTCCATGACATGAACGCAGAGTAATGCCTAAATTAGGGAATTTGATCATTTAGACCAAAAAATACCAGTTATTCACGAGAACGCAACCACTTGACACTTGGATAACCCACGTAGTTTCGAAGTCCCGAGATGATTTTAAAATAAAACGACTTAGAATAATTGGCTGGTACGAACGAAGTGCTTTATTGAGTGAATTTTATCTCAATCCAGATGATTGTTCAGCGCAAAAGTTATTTTTTAGTGTGAGATGACGTCTCCAGAAGAGGAAATTCCGATGGACACCCATCTCACGCCTAGCGAAGAGCTCCACCGCGACGATGCTCTAATCACTCGATCGATTCAGCATCTATCGCTCGGTACCTCGTCATACAACAGAGCACCAGAAGTGGCATTCTCCGATCTGCATATCTACGGAGCTATCGGTGAAGACTCAAGTCAAACAACGAAAAGAATCCGGGAAAAAGCCGCTGGTGATTTTTATTGTAATTCTAGTATTTCTGCCGTACATTCGCATACATGCTGTTGATGCGAAGTGTAACCACAGGGATGCTGAGATAGAAGAAAGGCTCGGAACCTCAGTTAGGCTACGAACCCGCGATTACCGGGGCCCATCTGCTATCCATCTCGCCGACCAATGCCCTTGATTTGCCTTTCTCTCACCCTTGTTCGGTGCTATCAGCAATCAATTCTTTCCCGCCGACGGTTGATTGCTAGTAGTACCATTAGAGTAGAAAACTGCCGAAGAGGAAGCCAAAGCAAGGGCCTAAATTGGTGTAGTGGATAGTACATGAGCACAGGGAGATAGAAGTCACAGGTTCGAAGCTCATCCCATACTCTAAGTTTTGCATGTATCTCAGCATCCTTGTGTTTGTGTACAGTGTTATTCCAATGTAAGAAATCCACTCTTCAGAATGATCATTATTAATGATTCTACCTCCATATGTTTCTGACTTTAAAAGAAAAAGGAAATCTAAGCCGTTTCATTTTACGAGATCATAATGAGACGCTAAGCAAAGGAATCTGCTTTCTCAGAATCACGAATCTCGTAGTAGTGGTGGCTCAGAATTTCTGGTGACAGAGATGAGGAAGGGGCAAGATTGAGCGTACGTGGGAAATACCTAAAATTGTTTATAAACGGTGTTTAAAATTGCTATTGCGTGTCTAGAAGATGAACAAAATAAGAAATTGGCGCGAATTTTGTTAAAAAGGGAATGTCCCGGAGCGATTGTCGCCTAAACTTTCTCATGACAAAAACCTTTATATGTATGGCATATTCTTGTTATTTCGACCAAGTGAAAGTAGCGTCTTACCTTTCGTTCACTTGGGGATCTCCATTAATTTTTGATTTCAGAGACACTTCTGTTTCAACCTCCCAGTCCACCCAAGGAGGCATTTAAACCGATCACTTTATCGAAATCGACATCACCATTGAAAATCAAAGGACATTCCGACGTACGGCGAACCTCATCTTCTTCAGTGGTTCAGTCCTCTGAACTTCATAATATTTAGGAACCTTCTATATCGTATTATTCCTTTTTCTCATTCTTTATTGTACATTCTGTGGTTCTTATAACAAAATCGAAGAGCGAGACATCATGCTGAACTGGAAGGCGTAAAAAGAAGAGGATAACGAATGAAAAGATTTTAAAATTAATACATAATAAAAAAAGGATAAAGCTCTCGGGGTTGATCAATCCCTCAAGGAGACGCCATGCATTCGACTTCATTAAGTATCGTTGGAGGTGACTGAATGCATATCTGGCCTTGGCAGCTGAGTCGCGGTGGCCTATCGATGTATCCAACCAGTGTTGCTGTCCTCGCAGACAAGTCTGGTACAAATTTACTAACCCCGGAGGCATGGAAGGCTTGGTGGGTCATGGGCGCGAGGATCTATTCCACGGGTGTGTCGCAATGGCCCCCCCCAACCACTGCGCCACACGCGCCCATTAATATATAATATCCAATAATAATAGTAGTAATAATAATAGTTAACAGCTTAATGTTTACAACCTATTTAATAACTTAACTAATTGATTAAGTGATCTAACAATCTATTTAATAATTTAATTAATATTGCACGAAATATTTTATTAGCTATATCCATTTAGAATGCGGTCGACGAGGCCAAAGACGAAATGAAGAGGCTTCTGAACAGTCGCTCTAAATTCGTTGATCGAAAAGAGAAGGTGAGTCTTCTTGTGGAAAACGAAACAATTATAATCCTGTTACTGAGGTCTTTCCGCCGTGTTCCTTCGAACGGCTCTCGTTCGTCAAAACAGAGTAGGTTTAGGCCACATTTAACCTTTTTTGTTTTGCTTCATAAAGGCTGAAATGCAATATCACTGTGAAAAATTAAAAGCAAAAGAACAATTCTTGGAGCTGGTAAATCATTGGAACTTTATGAGCACATACGATCAGTTGAGGCAAATTTCAGCTTGAAGAGAGGGAGCGGCTGAAGCTGGAGAAACGCGAGAAGCAGAATTCGCCACGGCCGCCGAAAGCGCCGATCACAGCCAGGTTGGTGTGCGCATGCCATCGGCTGCGTGTCGGCATGTTCGTCATCTTCTACTTCCAAGACCAATATTCTATTCTTGAGCGCTATCCACGAAAACCTGTCTGCTACCCCAAATAGAGGTTGACTTCGCCTCGCACAACATTGTTCTTCAAATGAGTATTGCATTACTTAATCTTTTTCAAAACGTTCGCTGATTTCTTGTGATTTAGGCTTCTCCTATTTTATTAAACATATGTTTTAAAAAGAAATTCTCAATTTCGCTCAATAGATACGAACCTTTGTGATGAATTTCGAAACAGGATATGAAGTCTAGTGTTATAATAACTGTTCTAATAGTACCTCTGTTCCTTATCGGATTAGCGCGAAACAAGAATTTAGCAATGTGCTTGAAATAGTTTAGCATCCTCCCATGAGTGTTCTATTGGTTAAACCACCTAAATGAGATGCCCTCATGAATCATCATCTCTCACCTGTATCACCCGTCGTCCAGTTGAAAGTCGACTGACTGACTGACTGACTGAGTTGGACTGACTGACTGACTGACTGACTGACTGACTCGAGTTGGCGCCAGCAAATCATCCACTTTTCCCCGTCGCGTGCAAGAATTGCCCAGTGGGTTCTGCTCGCTCTAGAAACACGTTGAACATGACGACTTTATTCTAGGCTTTTCGTGAAGAACTCTGACCATGGGGTTGGTGATCTTTCCGCAGTTCGTTTAACATCTCGAGGAATCCGGTCACTAACGACTCTTGTCCATCGGTTGTCGTTCAAATGCATTACGTGTCCGGCTCACCCTATCTTTGATCGTTGGCGAATAGAACGGCATCTTTGGTTTGAATCTTTGGTCGTTGACGCAGGTCGTAGCTTCGGATCCCATCCCTTACTTGTGTGGAATGGGATACTCTTAGCATCGTCCTTGCGACTGCGCGTTCGATAACGCTGAGTGATCCTTAATTCTGTTTACGCATCGACCAGGTTTTGACGCTTACGTTAAGCCAGGAAGAATCGTAGAGCCGAAAAGCTGAGCACGGAGTAGAGTGTTCTCTGTTCCCTTCACTACATCCACGATGCCCTTGAAAGTTTCTCAAAGCCCTCGTTTCCTTCTGCTCAGCTCTGGAGCTAAGTAGTTCAACATGCTGATTTCCCAACCTAGATAGACATAACTGTATTCGGAGATATTCGTTCCGTTGAGCGTGAATAGGACATGCGAAACCAATCCGTCCTTCATGAGCATCGTTTTTGTGAGATTTAGTCGAAGATCAATCTTTCCACAGGCTCTATCAAAGTCGGCAAGCATACGTTCCACTTGGCTAATGTTTGGTGTTATAAGGACGATGCAACTCTGATGAGAATTGCTGATCTTCTCTCTTCAAGGTTTTCTTTTATCGCCTGTCCGCACTATTTCGCAAGTTTGGACGTAAGCTGGCAGTTACCTGTAGCTCGTACGATTCCACATTAGCGATTCCGCACCTCGAATGTTTCTACAGGCAGACGTCTCTTGTTAACTTTCGAACTCTCAGCTTCCATAGCGCTAATGTTAAGATGTTGAATGGGTCTGTCGTATTGCTCGTTGATGTTATCGAGAACAGCATCTTCTCATCTACTAATGAGCCAAATAAATGCCAATTTATGGTGCTTTTGAGACTTTGTTTTTTGAATTTATCGGCTTTTTCTCTTCTCCGCGAGAAATAAAATATTGCACGAAGGAAACGATAGTCTGATACCATGTAGAATTTTAGGACTACAGCGATATGAGCTAGGCAAAACCCTTTACTTGCTATGATGTGATCTATTTCGTTATGATACTCTCTATTGGGAGACTCCAACATCCAGCGTTGAGGATGAGGCTTTTGGAATTGCGAGTTACCATGAATTGTCTTCGTTGTCATGATAAACGCAGACAGCCTCTCACCCTCTTCGTTCTAAGCTAATCCGTGAATCTCAACGTTACGTTCTTCAGACAATCTTCTAGGTCCAATCTTAGCGGTAAAATCTCCAATGATGACCTTGAAGAATGTATGGTCTTCTCTGTAGAACTTCTCCAAGTCCATGTAGAACGCTTTGACTTCTTCGTCATAGTTTGATGTCGGCGCGTATACGACGGAAATTGTCATTGATCTGCATCTTTTTAATCGTAAACGTGCTATTCGTGCTGTTAGTTGTTCGAATGAACCAATGTTCATGGATAAAGTCGTATTAACGAGAACGCCGACGCCTACGACTCCTCTACTGTCGCATGTTCCGAGGAACAGTTCTTCTCCGGTGTCATAGACGGCGTGAAAGGCTGGCGTCTTCTCTTCTTGGCCAGACCGATGACGTCGTACCCTATCCTTTTTGCTTGAGCAAGTCTTGTAGAGGACCCGGATCCAAGTGTACGTGCATTGTAGGTCCAGATCGTAACGTTATTTATTTGCGATCTAGGCAGCTTACATTGGTCCTGAGATTTTAGCGGTCTCTCCGTATTCGTCCTACCCAACACTGCCGAATTGGAGGCTCTTTCGGGGTCAGGGGAATGAGGCCGATTTTTTTTACTGTGTTTAGCATTTTGATACCCGCGTATAGCTTGCTGGGCTCTGAACGTGGGGGCTGTGTATACTAACGGGTACCTTGCCAGTCTCTCCCAGAATGGACATGGAGCTTATTTGTTGGAGGCGGCTCCTAACCGCCCGCCATATACTTCCATGTCATTTGATTGTTATGTCATTTTTGATGCCTTCAATTCGTCGTCGTCAAGTTCATTGGGTCATCCGTGGCGTTCCTCATCTTAGAGGTCGAAATCACAGATCGGTGTTTCCGGAACCATGTTCGCATTGTTGGTTCACTAACACTACGTTCACCCCAAACTTCATTAGTGTTTCGAGCCCCCTCTGCTGCACTTCGACCGAGTTTGAACTCATAAAAGGAAATTTGAAGAAAAATCGCTTTCGACATCCAGAACTGCAAGGTTAAAATTGGTGAGAAAATTTGAACTTTGGCAAAATGTGAAGGTATGCTTAGAAGTGCAAAAAATCAGTTTTCTAATGATATATAATACTGAAAGGTACAAAGAATACCCTATTGACAGGAAATACATTAAAACACTAGATATTTTAAAGCGCTCATTTATTTCTGAACAGCCTAGTAAATGCATACTTTGAAAACGCAGGGTGAGAGCTTCAATACAACTGACGTTTAGTTTCACAATCGTAAATAATCCTTCCATACTCATTTTGGCCATGCTCAGATTGTTCATTTTCGGCAGAGTGAGACTCTCTGTCACCATTAAGCTCTGTAAATCCGTGATTTGAAAGACTCATGGAAATTATGCCGAGTACTGCCACCAGGCTCCTCCAATGTCATTGTTGGGCGTACTTTTACAGATAACCACGACATCACTTATTTTCTATTGCTAGAGTGCATCCTTTCGCCGTGCTTCAATTCTGATTCTGATAAATTCGTTAATATAAACATATGCATGCGAGTAATCTCTTATGACCATGTAAACGATGAACAAACTAAAGTGGTATCAAGAGGTTAATCGCTCCAATCCAACTTCACTGATGTCAAAAAAACATTTGGGCTTTAACTAAGCGCTCTCTGCCACCCGTATTATTCACCATGTGAAAAGGGGACACTGGTTATTAAGTACTTACGATACTTTGAATGTGAGGAGTTCTTCGGATGGAAAACCTAAGAAACCATCTGTAGAAAATGGGAGAAGAGTGGCTAAAGGTTGCAGTCTGTCATGAAGACAGAAGCGTATTTCTCTATCTACGATACAAAGTCTCGGATATGATCTTTACGAAATTATTGCTACAACGAAGAAATAGAAAGACGTAAAAAAATAGGTAGAAAAAATCGAACTTGTTGTTTCTAATTAGTTTAAAGTACTGTAGCTCAATTATTATGTGAACACCCTTCCTAAAGTGTTTTGACTTTTTCTCCTGCTAACTTCCCTAATCCCATCGCTCGTTTGCTCACGTTCTCAAACACAGTAACCTACTCGCAGTGTGGTTTTGCATGCTTTTGTAAGTTTTCTATAGCATTTATAGTATCCTCAGGTCGTTACGATCGGCTGGCAAAATGCTCGCACCGTCTTTCTTTCGTCGAGCTGACTCGAAAACCTCGCCGAAAACTGCGAAGGTGGGATATCGCATTCTATCACCTCTCTAAACCAACTAGAACATTCTAAAGTTCGTTTTCAATAGCAGCTGTCTCATATGTACTGTTTCATTTTTCAGCCACCTACTCTTGAAGTGTATATAAATAAATGCTAGCTTTATTGGTAACTATCCTTACATTTTCTCAAGCTATCATTTCTCAGAAGGCTATTTTCAAAGTGCCGTCCTTTCATCGCAATCCATATATAAGGAATGACGCTTTTTAAGCATCCTATTGCCCCCGCGAACAAGGAACCCGAGCGAGGAAAATATCTTGCAGAGTGAAACGACTTAAATAATTCGCTTACCAGTTGAATACCAGTAACACTAACTTTAATAAGCAGTCCGTACATGAGCATTTGCGCAAACTCGGTGATGGTTTCCAGAATCACTTTTTGAAATTGTTGCATTCTAATATTCTTGAGCTTCTCACGACCGACTTTCTATTAACCTCGGCATTGATCAAGTAATTCTTCGTATTTTTGTTGAGCAAACGCGAGGTGTTATTGTTCTTTATTCACGAATAAGCTGACGTTTCGGCAGATTTCGTCTTCCTCAGAGCCTGGAAAGGTCAAGTTGACAGCAATCCACTCGGCCAGACGCCTCCATAATCAAACAAAGAGACTCTAAACCAAGATTTCAATCACTTTGAACACAGCTTTGCACACTCACGCTTTCTATGAGGTTTCCACTAAGTATGCCACGTAGAGACCAACCGCACAGAAATCACGTGGAAGTATAATGTGCCCCCAAACATCAGAAAAGCAGTTTTATATACTGCCCTATATCACGCGTGATAATGAGGCATTCTTCCCTGTGGTTCATTTTCAGATTTCTGGAATTAATCCAGAATGTCTCGAGTTTTTCGCGCCTGTGTTCTTGATTCGCGTGCGAGGATCGTGGCACATACTTCAAAGTCGTCCCCGTTATGTCTCTGGGTCCTATGCGTGCGTAGCGGTGTATTTGGTCTATGTTTGC